GAGGGTGCTGAGCCCTGGCACAGGGTGCCCAAAGAAGCTGTGGCTGCCCCTGGATCCCTGGAAGTGCCCAAGACCAGGCTGGACAGGGCTTGGAGCAGCCTGGGAGAGTGGGAGGTGTCCCTGTCCATGGCAGGGGTTGGAATGAGATTATATTTAAGTTCCCATCCAACCTAAACCATTCTGTCATTGTGTGATTCTACAAACAGGTCACTGCACGCTCCACTGAATTCCTTCTGCTGTGCCCTTTCAAGAGCTGCTTGAAGAATTGGCTGACACAGAGGGAGTTAAAAGTCAGGCACCCACCTTCCAGGCATGTGGCTTTTGCCAGCAGCCCTTTAGATCTTTAGAACTTTCACAGTCTTTCAAGTTTTTGAGCAAAAGTCTTATTAAAATGCTATAACTATTATTCTGGCTGGCATCTTGTTGCTCTGCATTGCCCATGTGCCCTTTTTCTTACAGGTTTTCTCTGTCAGTCTAATAAATAAATTATGGGGTTTTTTTAAAGGCATGTCAGTGTTGACATTGGGCTCTCTAAGTGATCTGTGACCTCGCACCTTCTGCATCCTCAGCCCCATCCCGAGGCTATCATTAGGCAGGGTTTTTCTGCAAATTGCTCCCATGGATTTGGCTATTTAATGGTGACTGGATGACACTGGAGTGCTCAGGTAAGACCTCAGTTGTTCTCTGCAGGACTCTCCAGCCTCTGACTCCGTGGCCTCTGTGACATGGCACTCTTTCATCTTCTGCTAATGGCCATAAATCCATGGTTGAATATTACTGGCACTCCAAGTTCCAGAGCTGGCTCAGCCTGTTAGATTATTAACAAAAGGCACAGATTTTGCAGTAGATTAGGCATAGCTCTCTCCCTGGAGAGCAGAGCCATGAGGGTTGTCTCAAATCTGCCCAGGAAAGGATGCTCAGATAAGGAGCATGGTTATATCCCTTTGCACTAAGCCAAGCACGCTGCCACAAGATTCCTAAAATATTTAAGATTACACCCTTATCTTATTTGTCTTTGGGGGAACTTTGCATAACTTGAAGTCAACAAATATATGGTTTATTTTGCTTAATTTCTCATTAACATAAACCTGGTTTCAGTGCTAGGAGAGTCATTGGCTTGGTGTCACAGTGAAGTGTGAGAAATACTGCAGTTTTGGACAAGTTTAACACAATTGAAAAACTTTGGAATGCTTTGGTTCTGTCACTTGCTTAAGTACACTCTGCTGAAGTAGACACTGATTATTCTCTCTTCCCCTCCCAGCACTGTTACCTCAGTTGCTCTATCACCTTGACATCCCTGATAAATGGGTGTAAATGACAAATGCTAATAAATTCCTGTGCCATTCACAACAGGTCAAGAAAACAAGCAAACAGAAGATTAATACAACTGAATCAGATACTGCCTGCAGAATAATTAAAGTATTGAAACACAACCTCTTTCTGGTTTTAATAATGGATGTTTGTAAATCACTGTTGCCACAGGAGATCATTCAGCATCTATCCTGCCTTATAACTTTCAGCCTAATTTTAGTAATGAGTGTTTTTCCAGTCAAACAATGTTCCTTAGATTTAAAGTTAGCACATTAATATGCACATCAAAAATAAGTACATCACCTCTAATATCTCCCTTGTGGCCAGGTTTCACTTTGCATGACTGAATCATTATGTATAATTAATATTGGTGTGATTACACTTTGCCAGATTAAATGATGTGCCCGTGGAGGAATAACAGATCCACAGAAGTTCTTTGCAAGCAGGAGGGAGGTGAGAAATCTTGGTGGTTTCCTTCCACCTGCTGCAGCCTCCAAATAATGTAAATTTTGTAAGGTTTAATAGTTAAGTGGTGTTGACATTTCCCCTGTTGGTCCATGCCACAGCCACCAATCAGCACGGGAATTAACCCCTCTCTGGAAGCTGTAGGATGCCACAAGTGTTCTCAGGGTGCCAGATGCTGGGTGAAACTTCATCAACTCTGGGAGATCCAGAAATCTTCTTCAGTGTCATTCTTCTAAAAAAAAACCCAAAAAACCATCAAGCTATATAAATATCAATTTTAATTTTTAGCATTTAGGCTTTCTATTAATAATATTCCTCTTCTCTTTGCCATAAGAATTGGCAACAAAGTGTGGTGGAAATATAAGAAATAGTCACAGATTTGATGGAGTCACCATCCCTGGAATTGCTGAAAAAGGTGTGGATATGCCACTGGAGGATATGGCTAAGTGGTGAAAAAGGTGGTTCTGCTGGGTTGAAGGCTGGTCTTGATGATCTTCAGGTTTTTACAGCCTTTATGATTTTATGAGTCTGTGCTTCTATGACTTGATTCTGAGAAAAAGCAACATGTGCCTCAGTTTCCACTCCGATGGACTCCAGTTTAGGAACTGAAAGGAATTTGTGGACATAATTCAGCATGTTGGCACTTCACAGGCACTTCTGCCATGCACTGCCTTGGAGTTTCTGCAGGTCATGTTCATCAATCACAGCCACAGTGCTCCAGACCATCTGTGCCCTGACCATCACAGCTCCCATTCCTGTTGCTGTAATTCCAATTATGTATATTTTTTACCATCTCTCTTGGTTTTCAGTTACACACAATGATCTCTACCAAGATGTGGAGTTTATTTATAGCTTATAAGGGACCCAACAATTCAAGGCAGACTGCACCAAAAGAAGCAGCTTGTTATCACTTTTTATTCTCCATCCTTTTGTTTGCCGCACAATCAAACATGTTTTTGCAGCTCTTTTGAATTTTCCAGCCTGTTAACTGCCCACAATTGTATTTTCTGAGTGAGCCTTGTAAATTCTTTGTAAAAAACTCCACTATAACTCCTTCTACATGTACAAAGACATTTTTTCCTTCCCCTCACAGAAAAACATCCTAAATTGTGCAAAAATGGGAGGTCAAGTATAAGAGAGACACTCTGACTTGTTCTCACCTTGTTCTTCACCGGCCAAACAAGAAGTTGGTCTCATCTTCTCCCTCCTCCCATGTTTTCATCTACACCAGTGCAAGCACAGAATCACATTTTGTGTTTGTTTTCCAGACCCTCTGTCTTTCCCTGTCTCCCTCTATCCAGCTCTACGAGCTAAGAGCTATTGAGATCTCTGAATGCTTACAGAGTGTTTTTCTAACTCCTCACATTCTTAAAATCCTCATTGCCACTACAGAAACCCAGACCATCATCTTTTATTTTTTTTTTTTACTCCACTTTTGCTACCACCCCCACTGTGCTTTCAGCAGGCTACAAACTCAACATCTCCATCAGCAATGAAAATGCCCCCCATGACCAACTGTCTTGGTTTGGAAAGACAGGTTCTGCTAAGGAAGGCAGGAGCCTCCCCTGAAATGGAAAATGTAAACCCCCTCCCTCCAAAGTAGTTTAATTTTGAAATTAAGGGGCTCTCAGGCCAAGATATGGGAGCAGGAATAACAGCTTTTTATTAGGGAAGAAAATAAAAGGATAAAATAAACAATGCAGTAAACAAAACAGCACTGACAGAGTCAGAACACAGCCTGACACCCTGTGGGTCAGGGTGTTGGTGGCAGTCCAACTGGAATTGTGGCTGCAGTCCTCCTGGAGTGTCAGGTGTGGTTCTGCTGGAGCAGGGATCCTGTAGAAAAGGATCCAGTGGAAGAGGCAGCTGTTCCTCTGGGAATGCAGTGGAAAGGCTGTGCTGGTGTCCCAAAAAGCTCAGATTGTATCCAGGTAGGAATGCTTGGCTCCTCCCCTGGGCGGAGCATCTCCCAATGGGATGATGGAATTTGATCAGCCATGCAGGGACACTCCCTGGCCATGAACAGAAGATAATTAATAATTAATGGCCCATGGACAGCAGAGATCTCCTGGAGGGAGGATTGGTTGTGGAAGAGATAAAGAAAACTGCCCAATGAACAGAAGAGAACTGCCCCAGCTCTGACAGATGGAAATAGAACACACATTGCCTTGCAATCCAGGACACCAACTCTGGGGTAAAGCAGAAAGCCCTCAAAGGAATGTGTTTCACCTTTTTTGTGTCCTGACTCAGTGCTCTGAGGTTTTCAGCGTGTCTGGAAGGCATTTCACCCAGCACAAATGTTGTCCTGCAGTAACTGCATCAGCTTTCTCCTGGGGCTGCTGCAAGTTCTATCAGTGTCAGTGCAGCAGGGCTGGCACGGGGTGATTATGCAAGTAAAATCCCAAATTACCAAATTGCAATCACAGTGCAGGTGCTATCAGCACCTGATTCATCCATCACTACCTTATTAACCACTCTGATTAGTGTGAGTTGTGTGGAAACTCTCTGATCTGTGTCTAAATGCAGCCATCATTGTGGTGGTTCCATACTGGAGCCACACAGAAAAGCAATAATTTCATATGTGAAAGCAAAAGGCAGCATGTCACCTCCTGCAGCATGAGCCAGGTTAGAGATACATCAGCAAATAAACAGCCTTTTATTAGCTTTTATTAGCACTGCCACGTTTGGAGACTTTCTCTGCTCCTAGATATCACAGAATCAAAAAATTATGGAATGGTTTTGGTTGGAATGGACCATAAAGATCATCCAATTCCACCCCTCCTGGGTAGGGACACCTCCCACTGTCCCAGGGTGCTCCAAGCCCTGTCCAGCCTGGCCTTGGACACTTCCAGGGATCCAGGGGCAGCCACAGCTTCTCTGGGCACCCTGTGCCAGGGCCTGCCCCCCATCCCAGGGAACAATTCCTTCCTAATATCCCATCTAAACCTACTATCCTTCAGTTTGAACCCATTCCTCCTTGTCCTGTCACTCCATGCTCTTGGAAGAAGTCCCTCTCCATACATGTATAGCTATATCAGCTGCAGCTATAAACTGGGTGACACATCCCAGAAACAAGCTGCTCTTTGTCTTGGGAATATTTAGTGTTCCCAAAGTGTGATGTCGCTGCCAGAGTTCTTGATCTCAGTGAATTCCAGTTCCTCTTCTGCCTTTTTGGTTCAGAGTTTCTCAAAAAAAAAAAATTCTTTGAAGCAATCTCTCACAAATCAATCAACCCAAACCAATATTTTATTTCCTTTCAGTGCATACATAAATATGTATAGGTATGTACACGAATCCTCTTTATGTGCTTTGCTGGGATTTTCAGCACAGTGTTGGAGAGCAGGAAGGATTCCTACTGAATTCAGGTTCTGCCAAGATTTCATTGTATTTTCTGGATTCCTGGATTAGAAATGGATGTATGTATGTGATTCTTGACCAACTCCCCCTGAATTCCAGGCACAAAATTTTCAATAACCATGGAGAAACCTGTAAAACAAAACAAGAAAAAAAATTGCTTAAAATATTTTTTAATTGTTTGTGGATCAAAAACTATTTCAGACAACTCAGGTTGCTTCATCTCCTTTACAATCCAGAGTATTTATTCCTTTAGGCATAGCATTCCTTTTTCCCTGCTGGACAGCTGATGTGTGTGATTTGTGTATCTGGGTTAAGTTGGTTTATCTGAGAGGTTTAGAGGGAATCAAAGGGCAAAATGTGTTCTGACGCTTAATTTTACAAGTACATTTGTTCTGCCAAACAATTAATTCTTTAAATTCTTCCAAATGGGAAATCATGCTTTCTGGCCCTCGAGCAGGCTCGTTATTTCTGACCATAGAGTATGAAAAATAACAACCCTTTTCTGCAGCTATCAGTCCATGTGACACCTACAATTTACAGCATTTGTAAATACAAATGGAATTGATGCCAGGTGAGGTTTCCAGAGGGCCTGGGAATCGGATACAGTTTGGAAAGGCTGCTGAGCAAGGATCACAGACAAATCTCTTTAAGGGGCTTGCCTGGCACAGGGTCCTGAAAACTTTTCCTCACTGAGGTAGCAGAGCTGGACTCAGCAGTTTCACATGTCTGGGTAGGAGCTGGCAGGATTCACCCCTCCTTAAATTCCTGGGTTTTTACGGAGCTGTCTGGACATGTAGGAACAAGATCTAACTATAGCTGACTTGGTTCTGCTGCTCCTGCCAATCCAAACAGGCAAGGACTCGGGACATTAGCACCCTGTTATCTCTTTGTCTGTACATATTGAAATCTGCACAAAAGGAGAATTAACTCTTTCCCTCTTGATTCCCATCTTTTTTTTTTTAATTTTCTTTAATTATACTGTGCTTGCAATTCATTCTTTTCAGCATCTTTACCTTGTATAAGTTGAATTTTTGCCTTTGAGGTTTATCATAGGATCAAAATTATCTACCTCTTCATTCTTTTCAGCATTTTAGCTTGTATCATTTGAATTTTTGCCTTTGAGGATTATCATAGGATCAAAATGATCTCGATATTCACCCCTTCACCCCCTCTAAAAAACACTGGGAAAACAAAGTTGATAACAGCAATTATCTCTCCATGGAGTTGTTCCAGAGCCATCTGAGCAACCTGGACTAGTGCAACCTGTTTTGAGCAGGGTGTTGGGTTGGGTGGTCTCTGGAGGTTCCTTCCAACCTAAAACTTGGAGTTGTGGTTCCATGAAATTCTGGTTGAACCCTCCCAGCCAATACCAGTGTGTTTGCCAAACATCCTCATTCCCAGGGGAGCAACTGGGACCCAAGAAATGTGGTCAAATGAATGTGGCACAGTGCCTGAATTCTAAATCCTTGTTCACCTGGAGTTGTCCGTGGTCCCCTTTGTAGAAAAGTGACACCACCCAGAATTTGGGAGAGCAGATGACCAGTAAAAAATTGCTTGTGTGTCACCCATTACCATCCACAGCCCTCTGTCATCTCCCTTCTGAATTAACAGAAGAGCTCATCACAAACAAGAAATTTTCTGTAGACCAAAGTCACCAGGAGGTCTGTGCCAAAATCAAACATATCAGTAGAAAACCTTCACGTTGTCTCTCTTTGCTCCTTTTTTGTTACTATCCAAATTTAGAATTTAAGAAGAGGTAATAAGAATACACCAAACCCTGAAACCATCATAGAATGTGGAAATATTAAAATAATTTCCAGTAGATTCACAGCAATATGATTACGCACATTTTAAGAGTGTTATGTCATATTAAAATGGTTTAAGAGAGAAAAATAGTTGTTGTGAAGTTGATTGATTTTTATTTACAGCCTGATGCATTCCCATCTCTGCAGGGTACTTTCCTCTTTCACAGCAGTGAGAATTCCTGACAAATGTTCCTCCTGTGCTGCTGTCATTCATCCATTCTCCTGCACCACCCAGCTGATTATTCCTTCTGGGGCTGGAATTTTACATTTGGCCTTACTGAACTTGACTTTATGATGATTTTCCCAATCCAGACAATTTTGGATTTCAGTCTTGTCCTTCTGCCTGTGCACATGGATTGCAAATGTGATCATTCTGCAGAATTTCTAACTCATTAATAAAAATTGCTGACTGGTACCTGCCCTATGGAGATTTATGCTTTTGTTCCTTAATTCATCACTGTGGTGTAATACTTCTCAGAGAATAGTTATGAATGCTTTGCTGTTTTTTAGTCAAATTCCAGTACAATAAACAGCAGAATTATCTAATCTTTAATTCTCAAAATTGCTTAGGACACTATTTAGTAAATAATATCCAGACACTAATTCATATCTAATATCTATGGGGTTTTTTTTTCCAATCCTCCAGGCCTACTGTTTTGTCAAAAAAAAAAAAAAGAAATAAAATTCTTCAGCATAGATTGTCTGTAAAAAAAATTTAAAAGTTTTGTCTTTTATTCATCCCTCTGTTGTCTTCTTCACACTTACAGACCGAGGATTTATTTCAAGATGATTCTGAACCCAATCCTCCAGCCCTATTGTTTTGTCAAAAAAAAAAAATTAAAATTCTTCAGCATAGATTGTCTGTAAAAAAAATTTAAAAGTTTTGTCTTTTATTCATCCCTCTGTTGTCTTCTTCACACTTACAGACTGAGGATTTATTTCAAGATGATTCTGAAAACTGGAATGATGCTGTCTCACTGTATTTCTTTCCAAAGACTGGCCCCCTGTAACTCTTTTCCCACCTGAGTCCCACCCCATGTTCCCAAAGGTCATTTCCATAACTCTGTGGGTTACTCCAGTTGCATCAATAACAAATGCAGGTGAATGGTGTCAAGTCCAGATGCCTTGAAACACCTTCTTGACACAAATATTTTTTTCTCCCATTTTAGTCTGGCTTACTGTTTCTTTTCAGTAATGCTAATTCTGATAAGTAAGTTTCTTACAACTTCCTTGAGCCATTTTCCATGTTACAATAGTCTGTATGTCTTCCTTTAACAGAAATTTCCTAAGGCATTGCCAGTTCTCCACAATTTTTCAGCTTAAAAATTTCCCTTCTGAGTCTTAACTTCGTTTTCCATGTTGCAACAGTCTGTATGTGTTCTTTAACAGAAATTTCCTAAGGCATTACCAGTTCTCCACAATTTTTCAGCTTAAAAATTTCCCTTCTGAGTCTTAACTTCTTCCATTTGAGCAAATGCATCTTTCTGAAGACTGTCATCAGTTTCTTTCCCTTTTTTCCTAAGGCTCATCCATACTGATTTAGTCTCATCCAGACTCTCCTCTTTCTGCATGTTCTCATTCTGTTTCTACTTATTCTATTAAAATTTGTAGCATATTTTTTCTTTGCTTAGATTTGTTTGGTTGGTTGGGTTTATTTTTTTAGCTGCCCATCAAAAATTAGGGCTTATTAACATCCAGGCTTTTCCAGGTTTTTACACACCCTGCTGCACTCTCCTTTCCACACATGTCAAAGAATTCCTTTCATTACCAATAGGTATCACTGTGATTAATTCAGCTAATTTTCCAGAAATTGATTCAAAGCTGCATTTCACACTGAGCGTTGGAAGATGGGTTTTGGCACTAGATGAAGATGTCATAGAAACATAGAATGGTTTGGGTTGGAGGAGACTTTAAAAATCATCCAGTCATGGGCAGGGACACCTTCCACTGTCCCAGGTTGCTCCTGTCCAACCTGGCCTTGGGCACTTCCAGGGATCCAGGGGCAGCCACAGCTTCTCTGGACAATCTGCGGCCTTACCACCAGTTTTTGTTAAGCAAAGAGTCACTGCCTGTGAATTTTGATAGAATCCTGCAGTTTTCTGAGTGTTTCAGGTGAACCATGCTCCTGTCTCCTCCTTGATTTGAATGCATCTAGCTAAAATAATATTCTTTGAATGAGATGTCCATAATGATTCATGGTGATTGCCAAGACTTAGAAGCAAGAATACAATAGAAATGTACAAAATTAATAAGCCAGCACTGGTCAGCTTGTGTAAGAGCATTTGGATGAACATCCCAGTAATCTGAGTTTGTATCACACCCTGGCATGCCCTGCTTTGGCTACACACCTCGATTCCATGATTCCATCACTGGGATCTGCCACTGAGGGGCCAACCCAGTTTCTGGAGAGAAGCTCCAATTAAGCAAATCCCTCAGCAGTGTAGCTTTTCCTAATAGGAGCACGCTGCTTTGAGCACATTGTTTGCAAGGATATAACCTTGCTCTGCTGACTTTGGGAGAGTCAGCAGTGCAAGAATCCACCCAAGCTGTCCAGCAGATACTTAGGAATTAAGCCTGTCATATGAGAAGGAAACAACACATTTTCTAATCTTTGCCAACCACAGGGAGATTCATCTCTCTTACATTTCTTGTCCTGAGATGATGACCACGATAAGAACTGACTTAAATCCCAGGGACCTTGTTTTTGCTTGCAAATTGGCTTAAGCTCATCCCCTAATCAGGTAATTGAACCATTTATGTGTCTTGGCTGGATCCCAGTCCGGGTTCATCTCTTATGAAATTATTCCAGGTCATTAACCAGTCTGGTGATCCTGAACCAGTCATTATGGGAAAATACAATGCTTGTGGCCAGAAAAGCAAAGGGGACCAAGGCAGACTTCAGATAAGAGCTTCAGACCCTTTGTCTGAAGTTTGGGACAGATCTGTCAGTCTGCTTCCCAGATGAATGTTCCAGATTCCCCTCCCCTCCTTCAGCCTGGCTTATGGAGCTGAGCACCCACTGAGCCCATCACTCTTGTCCTAGGCTATGGTTTAGGGTAGATCAGGGCATGGGAGGGGCAGCACAAGTAAGTGACACACATCAGTCCTGACAGGCCCTGCTGAGGTGACCAAAGTTCAGCTCTCTCAGACTTCACAACCTGCAGCCTCGAGGGGCAACTGAGCCTGCTCAACAAGGACCATGGTGGCCCAGGAAATCTAAATGTAGAGACAGAAAATCTGGCTCCTTTCCCTGAAGGATCTTGGTTAACCCCTTTGTTTCTTTGTCTTTAACTGTGGGAAAATATGCAAAATATTTCTGATTTTCTTTACAACCCCTTCCTACCACGTGCCACCATAGGGCAGGGAGGCATCAAATATGTGCATTTTGTTGAGATGGGCTCTCCTTTTTTGATGTTCCTGGAGCTGACTTTAAAATTGCCTGCCTTCTACAGAGTCAGGGAGGGCCAGAACACGGCATGAAAACATGACACATCCTCCAGCCCATTCCCTCAGCCCACCATTGCTTTAGGCTCAGAATTTCCTGATTTATGGAGTGCCACAATGGTCTGTGTTTGCTTTTCCACTGCTAACTTTCATGGTGCTTGTTGTTTTACCATGTTGAGCTCTGGACTGGCTCACAGAAATCCAAGGTATTTATGGAATTACCTATTACAGAGCCAAGAGTCTGTGGCATTTTTAGGTGTCTCGTGTGGCAGGAGATAACTCCTTCAGTCCCTGAACTGACACACCTGAAGGCATTGCTCCAGCTGGATGTATCACACCATTCTCACCACATTCAGCTTCAGCTCTTCAAGCTGCTGCTGCTGCAAAAAAAAATCCAAATTAGTTTCTCCTTCATGAATCCAGCTCATTGCTTTTAAAGAATTAGCCAATGCCCATGAAACTATTCAAAAACACTTATCTGAACTATGAACATGGAGGGGGTTTTTATACTAATTTTTGCCATCAGGTCCCTTCTTTGTCAACTCCATATGTTTTTAAGATTCATTGCATCAATACCATAAAAAAAAAAAAAAACCATTCAGGAGGAATTTCTTCCAGAAAGGGTAGGACAGTCTGCCCAGGGGGGTGGTGGCTGCTTTCAACATCCATGGAAGTGTTTGAGAAATGAGCAGTGGCACCCAGTGCTGGTTGGTAAGGTGGTGTTTACTCAAAGGCTGGAGACTTTTTCCATCCCTTGGGATTCTCTGAATCCTGGTGGAAGATCAGTAGACCAGAAGTCTGCTCTACATGTTATCTGAGTCCTGCTGCTTGGCCTGTAGCAGGTGGTTGTATCTCTGATTTTCCTCCAACAATTTCATTATTGCATTTTCATGGGAAATTCTGTGGGGATGAGATTAGTGAATCATCACATGCAACGGCCTCACTCCTCCTCTTCCCCCAGTGTGAGCATGAAGAGTGGCCTTGCTGGGATGACAAAAAACCTGGGGAATTTTCTCTGGCAGTATCAACAGCCTAGGAAAGAGTCTAGGAGCAGAGCAGGCAGGTGGTCACACACCTCTGCCCTCTGCTGAGTATTTACCACCCAAACTCTCACCAGGGTATCCAGGTACATTCTCCTCCTGCAGAGGCAGAGTTGATATCACAGAATTATACAATCATAGAAAAGTTTGGTTTGGAAGGATATTAAAGACCATCTCACTCCACACCCCTGCCATGGGCAGGGAAACCTTCCACTAGACCAGGTTGCTCCAAACCCAACCTGGCCTAGAACAATTCCAAGGATGGATCATCCACAATTTCTGTTATTTATCTCTGTCTTTGGTATCCTCACCAGACCTTTTGCTCTCCTTTAATGCATTTCTTGGCAATTTTGGCTGAATTTTGCTTTAACAGCTAACCTGCAGCCAAAATAATATCCAGCCTTAGATAATCATAATTTAGCAGCTGTGCCACGGCCATCACTGTCAAAATGTGTCCACTCTGCAGGAAAATCCAGAATTTCTCACCAGTACAGTGCTGCACCCAACTGTTTCATAAATTAAGAAGTGATCAGAGGTGGGCCACTGTTCTACAAAGAGATTTTCATATATTGTTGTGCTGAAAATACACAACTGGGTGTTAGAGCTCTCCTAAACAAATTATTTTCCTAGGATTCAACAAGCTAATAATTCATGCTAATTTTGCTCACGTTCACCCTCTCTCCTGACCCCTCAGCAGTCTGCTAATGTAACCCTAATACATGGAATTATCTGGAATGAGGAAGCATTCCTGGATGGTGAGGACCTGAATTCTGGTCTGTCTTGGCTCTAGGAGCTGGCTGTTATATTCTCCATAAACAAATAGAACTTGAGGCAAACATTTGCTCCTCACACTTTCTCCAGCAAACACGGCTTCAAACATCAGGAGGGAAAAACAAACTCCATGACCAGCCTCTTAGCTTTCCATAACATCTGTGTTCATTTTTCATGTTTTATTTTCCCTCATCCTGGAAGCAAAGCAAAGCAGGAGAAAGCATTAGCATCTAACCGCAGTCATTTCCTGAATTCCAGAGAACTGGTGTCAAAACCAAGGATTCACTGGCTGCTGGGACATCTGTATCGGATTATTGCACTTCCCTGTTCACTCCTGCATTGTGGAAATCAGCTGCTGCTCCAATCCAGAAGCTGGGAAAAAATGTGTCGGGTTCCTACTGTTTTTCAGCATATTCTTCCTAATTTCCCTCTGCCTCACTTCCCAGAGTTCTGCCTCTAATCTGTACCATTTTCTCCCACTGGCTGTCAAGCTGCTGACAACACACACTTTTCCACAAATGTATTTTAATTCTTTTCCTCTCTGTATATTTTTATTCTAGTCCCTACCAAAAATAATGATGATATTTTTAATGATGACTGATTCTTTGACCTGATTCAGCTCTTTACTTAGCTGACGCAAGCAGATAATTCATTGTCTTCTCCAAAGCATTTTCCATGAGTCTTTGAGGGTCACATTTTTTGTCTGATTAACTCATTAGATCTCAAGATCCCTGATCACCAAGATCAGGATTCATTTCAATAAGTCAGACCTGGATTTCTCTTGAGAAACCCGATGGATTAATCACCAGAAGAAATCATGACCCTACCAAATGTCCTGATTTTTAAGGTCCCTTCCAACCCAAACCTCTACGACTTCCAAGGAAATGCTTGAAAAGGAAAAAGAGGGAGGTACATGGGACACCCCCAGGCAAAAATGGTCTCTGTTAAATGGTGGCTCTTTGCATGTTGGTGTTGTCAAAATATCCTCAGAAACAAAGTTCAGCTCTCTCAGACTTCACAACCTGCAGCCTCGAGGGGCAACTGAGCCTGCTCAACAAGGACCATGGTGGCCCAGGAAATCTAAATGTAGAGACAGAAAATCTGGCTCCTTTCCCTGAAGGATCTTGGTTAACCCCTTTGTTTCTTTGTCTTTAACTGTGGGAAAATATGCAAAATATTTCTGAAATTTCTTTCCAACCCTGTCCTTCCACATTCGATGTTTAATTTGAAAGGCACCCTCAGTAAATGAGGTTACTTCCTCACCATTGGGAGATCTGGTCCCACCTTTGGGGTTAGGATCTCCCTGATAAGTCAGAAAATAAGATGTATGCTACAATTGCTGTGTGGTTGCTTGAAAAGTTTCAGCTTTGTGTGTAAAAGTTCACCCAACAGTGCTGCCCAAGGCCCCTTGGAACAGTAAAAAGGAGGAGGAGGTGACCATCTCCCCTCCTCAGCAGCCATTGGTAAGGCTGCTGCACTTCCATGGGATTTGGGAACCGCATGGACAATTCCCAAATCCCACCAAAGCTCATTTCCAGAAATAGGCCTTGTACCAAAACGCAAAACCACCAGTGAAGAAATTTGGGAGCTGCAGGTCCGTAGCCTTTCCCACCTGGAGAGCCATCCTTACACTGGCAAGTCTGACTCAAGGCATCTCATTTCAGCTTTGCAAGCCTTGCTACATCCTTGGATGGGCATTCACCTGGAAAATACATCTGCATTCAGCCCCTGGCTCCCAAAGCAGCTGCTCTTCCAAGATCTGGAGCCCCAGGCACGTTTTCCTCTCTCCACTGCCCGTTTTCCTCTGGGCAGCAGCAAGCCCTGTCCTGGAAGGCCAAGTTCACTGGCTGCAAGGACAGAGCAGCCCAGGATCACTTGGGAACAGCTAATAGGAAACTGATGCTGCCATCCAAATACCAGAGCCATTGCAATAAGGTCATTCCTTCAGCAAAATGTCTCGTAATGGGCCTTCTCTGACCCATTCACCCCCAGAGCAGAGAGCTCTCAGTAATGTGGTTTTGCTTTTACTGGCCAGGACAAATCTGTTGTGCCCTCCTGGCTTCTAAAGCTGAAATGCAGCCCTGCATTACAGGAGAGCCAGGGGAAAGAGGACAAGGCAATCCCACATGTGCTCTGCTAAAAACAAACATCTGGCTAATGCCTTCACACGGCCATTGCTGTGCCTGTTGCTAAATTCATTATTCTTTTAGCTCTGTGGGTTGCAGCAGATTCAATATTCGGACCAGCAGCTAGAGACGTTATTCAAATACAGCTCAAATCTGGATATTTACTCAGGTGTAATCTCTTTGTTGGAAATAATATTCCCAGACTAAGCAACGTTAACATCACTCAAGGGGACGTTTCTTGTTGGATTAATAGGGAGATTTGCAGAACATGAGGATTCAAGTGAAAAAAAAAAAAAAAAGAAAAAGAAAACAGAAATGCATTTCTGACTTCCATGGGAGCATCAGGGGAGGCTAAGCTGATCAACAAGGTGCTGAAACAGGGATGAGAAGATGTTCTCCTGCTGCTGTCAGTGCTGCCATAGGATTCCACTTTGCAATGGATTCCATTTGATCAGAAGGAAAAAAACTCTCAACTCCTCACTGCCCATGTCATAGAGCCAAAGAGGCCCTGAAGATTCTGATGCAGAGAGATGGCTGAGCTCAGTCCAAGCTTTGTTTTGAGAAGGAAACAGAGAAACCACCATCAGGAAGCAGGAGACACACAAAGCTGGTGACTGAAGACATCAGTTTAAGAGAAATTGTCTTGCAGGTGAAGTTTTCACCTCGTGGCACGACTGGACCTCCACCATGTGTCCTTGCCCTCAGGTCATCAGCTTCAAGCACACATTTTACTGACTCCTAACCTGAGGTGGACATGAGGTGAGGAGCCCAGACAGGGGGTGAACTTCCTTAATGCCACAGAAGTAAATGAGTCTGAAATTTATTTCTCATCCTTTAGTGCTTTAGGTGGCTTATTAAAAACAACCCAAAGCCTCACACACACTGAACCCAGATCTTTTTAGTCTGTCATGAGGTAGCTCCTAAAGTAACTCTGGTTAGTTCCAACTGAAGGCAAAATTGAGGAACACCACCTTTTAGTTTGCAGTCTAATTTTAGTCTGAGCCTGTGCCACTCATTTTTGTGCCATGTTTTAATATATGCAATTACTTATTTGCGTTAAATTGAAGTGTGGAATCCTGCAAGCTTCCTGTGTTTCCTTAAGAAAGCAAACAAGCTCCTGGGAAAAATTACAATGCAACTTGAACTTATAGAAATAGCACATATTTATTTATCTTTGTATTTATGCGTCATAAAAAGAGAATTGCAAAAAGGCTTCAGTCTGTTGGGTTTTATCAGAATCAAGATCATTACCTTGTTTCTAAAGCACCCTGCTGGCCTAGACTAAAACTCGTGGTCACCTTTTTACCCCACCTCTGCCAACAGAGCAACTCCTTGGCCACCCAGCACCACCCTGATGTTCTGCAAGTGTCCCCTGCTCCTGACTGCCAAAGGCAAGTCCTCAGCCAAACACACAGGATCCTCTTTGCAAATCCTCCTCTCCTC